TTTGCTTATGTTCACATCTTTCTTCAGAAATAGTGTCAGGAAGGTGTGCATCCTGGAATGCCAATTTAATAGAACAATGTGTTCTTGCAATGGGTAAGTGCTTGAGTGGAAGCCCAATATCCATCTGCTGCCTTAATACTAAAGCTATAAATATATGCACGCAGATCTGTTTCCCCACACTCTTATATAAATATATTTACACATGTACATTCCAGTTTTAAACCTCTATAAATAGCCTTTGTCACCTAGTTCTTCCCTCTATTTCCTTTTATTTCCTCTTGTCCCACTATCATGTTCAGCCTTCATTTGGGTTTCAATGACCTTTCTTGGTTACATTGCCATTGCTGTATCCCTACCAGGAATCAAAACCCCCATGGAAGTAGCACACCAGCCTGTCTGACCACAAGGTGCAGAAGGGACCAGTTATCAGACAGCAAAGAACTAAAAATCAGATCAGTGGGTGCCCACCTTCTGGATACGATCACTTAAGACAAACGTGTGCATAAGCAAAGGTGGTGAAGAAAGCTGATGGTGACCGGCTATCAAAAGATATAGCATCTAGGGTCTTAAAGGCTTGAAGATAAACAAGCGGCCAACTAGCTCAGAAACAACAAAGCCCACATGGAAGATGCACAACAGCATGCGTGACCACGAGCTGTCGAAGGGATCAGGTATCAAGCATCAAAGAACAAAAAATATCATTGTAAAGGTGGGTGAGTGCAGAGTGGAGACTCAAAGCCCAGTGGTAGGCAACTGGACACCCCATCGCTGAAGGGTTGAGGGGAAGAGATGAGCCAATCAGGGTGCAGGGTAGCAACGATGAAACATATAACTTTCCTCCAGTTCTTAAATGCTTCCTACCTCCCACTATCATGATCCCAATTCTACCTTACTAATCTGGGTAGACCAGAGGATGTACATTGATACAGATAGCAAATGGAAACACAGGGAATCCAGGACAGATGACTCCTTCAGGACCAGTGGTGAAAGGGGTGAAGCCTGGAGGCTGAAGGGAATGTGGGGTGAAAGGGGGAACCGATTACAAGAATCTAGGTATTGCCTCCTCCCTGGGGGAGGGACAGCAGAGAAGAGGGCAGGGGAGACGTTGGACAGTGTAACTTATGACAAAACTATAATAAGTTGTGAATTATGAAAAGTTCATGAGGGAGGGGGAAAATGAGCAACTGATATTAAGGGCTGAGGTGGAGGGCAAATGTTTTGTGATTGATGAGGGCAGCAAATGTACATATGTGCTTGACACAATGGATGGATGTATGGATTGTGATGAGAATTGTACGAGCCCCCAATAAAATAATTTTTTAAATGCTGAGGCAAAATAAACGTAGACCTGAAATTTCACACTTAACCAAACTATCATTAAAATATGAGGGTAGATAGAGAGATTTTTGGATTTCAGGAAACTTTATTACCATTTCCCACAGAAAGAGGCATCCAAATTTATAGTTAAAAGGAAGGAACCAGAACTCACAAAGAAGTGAGCTAGAAAAGAAGAAAAGAAAATTACCAGCTGAACTTTTTAAGTCGTAAAGACACCAGGGCTTATTTTTTTCCAATCTTTTTTTTGGGGGGGATTTAGGATCTCAATTTATGATCTCTATTCTTGTAACATTTTTTTCTCTCAAATAAATATACTTTTCATTTCCCCCCATACTTGCTTCCTGTGAGGTAGTTATGGTGGTTGATAGCTGTACTTCACCCTAAGTTTTAGTTTACACATGTTCCTATGACATTAAATCACTTTTAAGGAATTCTGGGAAAGAAAGCCTGTATAATATTTTTTGATAGGGTACCAGGAAGATCAAAGACTTTTTAAAAAATAAAAGGCTATCTGGAATAACCTCTTTATCAGAAATTTATTTTTATTTACCAGGGCCCTTCGCATACCACACTATTATAATCCACTTTCTATAAAATAAGAAACAAGCACACACAAAGTCGTAAAACTAAATCAAGTATTCATTCCAAAACCTAACTCCCAGGGTGTCTGTGTGCCCAGTCAAGCTCTATAAGCATATACTGTAATTGCCAATACTCAGAATGATAAACTTGTGGTATGACGTGTTCTTTTGCCATCTGGAAAAGAGATTTCTATAAAGAGGTTAAAAAAGTTCTTGGGAAATTGAATTAAATGATAATGAAAATTTCTGGGAAGTTTTAGAAATTCCATAGTATGTTCATTGAAATGTATTTACTGATGCAGGAATATGTATTGAACTATTATTAAGGTGGTGACCAAAAAAGATTTGGACAAGCAGCTATCTAAGTGAGGCATCAAGTAAGTCCACATGGAAGAAACACACCAACCTGTGTGATCCAAGGATTATAAATAATAAAATCCAAATCTGAAGGAAGGAAGGGTATCTGAGCTTAAATTGTGAGCACCCAGTTTACAGAAGGCTATGGAAGACACATGCTCAGTAAAGTGGAGGGTCAGTGAAAAGGAGGAAGCCCTCAATGAGATGAATTGACACAGTGGTTGTAACAATGGGCATGAGCTTAGAAACAATTGTGAGGGTGGCACAGGACCAGGTGTTGTTTCCTTCTGTTGTGCATAGGGTCATTGTGGGGCAGAACTGACTCGGTGGTACCGAAAAATAACAACATGGATGATAGTGGCAGCCCAAAATCCATTTGCAGGTTCCTGCCATGGGTAAAGCCTCCAGTGAATTGCTTCTGACGATAGTCGAGGAATGTGAATAGCTTCTGTTGTCACACAGCACTGTAAACTTGATTATGGTAGATACAGTTAGGTAAAATGTAATACCTTATTATTTGCTCTCTCTTTTGACCCTTTTACTGTTTGTGGTAGTTACATAATCTGTTGTCAATTTGAAATTATTAAGAGTGAAGGGGTGAAGTTTAGCCTGTCAATCAGGTCGCAGCTTGATGACCTCATTTGGAAGAGCTCAGGAGATAAATAGCTCCCTGGAAGTAGGACACACACACACTCCCTACGAGACATTACTGCTGACAAGACACATGGAGCTATGCTAGAGCCCTGGAGTTGGAAGAGCCATAGACCCCTGCCAGCGTTGAGATGCTTCCACTGTCACTGAATCCACAAGACTTTCCACCCACAGGCCAGTGATCTTCAAGCATGCAGTGTCATTACATGTGCTGCATGAGTCTGAAAATGAATGTATAGATTGGCATCGGACATAGAGGTTAATATCGGACTTATGGACTTGATCTGGACTGGGCTGGGATGCTTTCTTAATGTACAATTGCTCTTTGAGATAAAGTTCTCTCACAAACTTCTGCGTCTCCCTGGATTTGCTCCTCTAGTCTACCCTAACACACGGTTGTTTCATATTTTTAAAAAGGAAGAAGAGGAAAGACACATGGATTAAACCTCCAGTGAATCTCTCCTCGGACCAGAGACCAGGGATGCGAACAGCCTAAGTATCATGTAGTGTGCAATGGAAAGTAGATTATTGAAGAATCGATTAGGTTAAAATCTAACACCTTTTCATTTGCTCTCCCTTTTGACTCATGTTAAATTTGGTCTACCTTTTAACATATTCTGCTTTCCTTTTGATTGAAGTTTTTCTCTGGTTTACTCTGTTATCGTTGTTGCTGTTTGTTTGGTTTCTTTGCTGGTTTTGGTATGTTTTCCAGTATATGAATTCTAGGATAGGTAAATCTATAGGCAGTAACTGGATTAATGGCTTATTGAGGGTCTCAGAGGGGAGGTTGGAGGGAAATGAGGAGTTAATAACAATGAGTACAAGAAAGAAGAAAATGTTCTAGAACTGACTGCAGTGATGACTGTACAACTCTTTTTAATATGACCGAACTATTGAAGGGTATGATATGTGAATTTTATGCCAATAAAACTATTATAAAGAAAAAGAAAAACCAGCCAAAAAATAATTGGAGGTTTCATCTTAAATGAAAATTCCATTCATGAAATATTTCAGTTAATTGAGTTTTCATGGAACTTTATTCCTAGCTTCATTCCTACCATTGTTTCCCTAGCACTTTTGGTTCATCTCTTCTAAAAGCACCATCTGTGTCTTAGACTAGTAATTCCTCACCATTTTGAAGTTAGACACACCCCTTTAGGAATACCAAGAAAGTGATGGATATTTTATAGAAATTTGTATGTATACATATTTACACCCAAACCTGTGAACACTTTTAAGAAACTCGTCGCCACCACCGCCACCCCTGACTATCGTCCACCAGTGCACCCAAATCAAGAACTGCCATCCTAGAGTGACGAGATTACATCACTTCCACTCTCTACTACTCAAGATTGTCACTTAGCTTTTCTTCAGACTGCTACTAGGCCCACAGGCATCCCTCAAGTTGTTCTCTGCATACACACCTTGCAGTCATATCCCAGTCAGATGTGAACAAAGTCTCATTGAGGGAGCCCCAGCCTCAGACAAACACCCCAGCCACAAATCTTGAAAGTAGACGTCGTAACAACCTTGTGAAAAAGTCTCTGTCTGGCTCCCCCTTATAGTTGCTCTTAACAATGTGTACATAATAACTGTACAGTCTCGAGGAGGTGGCTATGCAGCAGGCAGGCAGCTTTATACTGTCATAAACCTTATTGGTTCAATTCCTTTGAATCATAAATGGCCCCTCATCATTTAGAAGCCATGCTGGGATATAATTCAAGCATTCATTGGACAGAGCACACACTGCCATGCTACAGCTTCCCTGATGCCCACGGTAGGAAGAGGCTGTTTATGGCAGAAAATCTTTGAGCCACAATTCCCTTCCCCCAATTGACAGTCACCTTCAAATGATTAAAAGCCCAATGAAAATCTGTTACTGGGTACCAAATAACTTATTAGAGCCTCAAATATGCCCCTTCTGGGCTATAAACAGTACCTAGGGGCCAGTTTGGGCTGCCTAAAAGTGTCCTATTGTTATTTCTGTCTGGAAGTTTCCCTTCTGGGGAACTGGGGAGATGAAGTGGGTGAAGGAGAACCACAGCTGGCAAAGAAAGAGGCAAGTTGATGTACCTGTGCAGCGAGGGCAGCACACATGCGGAATATGCACAGGAGACAGGCAATGGAGGGTTGGACATCGGATTCGGCTGCAAAGCACATTCCCGTTCTGAAGGGGGAAAAAAACAAGGCAAACAGAAAAAAAAATAAATATATTTCAAAGGTCACGCTGATCATGCCAGCTTTGGTAACAGTCGTGCAGGGAGAGACTCAATCAGACAGTGAATAAGACGCTCCCAAGAAGCTGAATGAAATCAGCATTTTATTTCTTTTTCTCATCACTAGTACCTCTACTGGGCTGGATGATAGCTTATTAGCCTCTTTTGCTAATGCTGAGATCTCTACCGCTCCAGGTTTCAGAACGTCCCAATAACTGTGGGTGGTTTACACAGACCTGGCTCTGATGAATTTCCATCAGTCCCTGTTTTTCAACTCAAGTCATTTCCAAGAATCTAGTCTGATTGCATAATGACTTTTCCAGTGCCATGGAAGAGAAGGGCAAAGAGGTATACCCTAATACCCAGAAATGAGAGTGTATACAAGTAAGTCTTGGTCCATTATGCTGGGTGACTCTTCTCCTCATTTCCCTTTTAGTCCAAGTTTTTTTCTGAGAACAAACTTAAATTTGGAATTGACTGGGTAGCTAGCATGCCTGAGTGGAGTGACTGTATCCCTGCCTGATTTGCAACCACAAGATCCCAAGTTTAACAGCTCAGAACAATTGCTGGAACAAAAGACACATTTGAAAATCAATTTTTTTCATATATATTTTCCATCCATAATGGCTACCTGTGATTTGTCATGCTGTTGTGGAAGAAAGTAGTGAAGAGGCCAAAGAAACAGAATGTGTGGAGTACTTGAACTATTGGCATGTGGATCATATTAACGTTTTCACTTTCCTGCCGACGACAAAGCCTTGATCCCTAAAGGTTAACTGTCCATCTCCAATGTGCTGGTTCAAGAATCTGAAACCATCATGTCCAACAGTGTGGCCAGATACCCCACTTAATATATACCCTAGCCATTTAAAGAGGCAGACTTCTTTGACCCACATCTGAATCACCTTCCTACCAACCTTTTGCTTTTTAATGTACTTTCCAGAATCGATTTATGAAGTGATGCATCTAGAAACACCCCCAAATCCTTAGATATCACATTCCTCAGAATTGAGGAGGGATCATCTTGAGGTGTGATCACTGAAGCACACCAGAAACCACACCCTTCCTGATGATATCCAACCTGAACCGTCTTCAATGCTTCCGTGCTGAAGTCTATTCAATAACAATAACCATCATGATGATGACAGAGGTGACAATAGCAGTAATCGGCATTTCTTGAAGGTTTACCATGAGCCAAGCACTGTTTTTATGATTTTAAATGGATTTGTGAGTTTAATCTTTACCATAACTCTATGAAATAGTAATATTGTTAATTTTTGCCACGAGGAAGCTAAAGGCGCTCAGAGAGGTGGTCTAACTCATCCAGCAGAACAAGGCTCATATGTGGTAGAGCTGGAACTGGAAATTGGGCCTGGATTAACTCTAGAGCCCCACAGACTCTCACCATGTACTGAGTGGGAAAGGTTAGGTCCCCACATGCTCAAACTTCTGACAGCTTCACTTTCGTGTGAAAATTGAAAAAAGGATCAGGATTGCAAATGATTGCTCTGGCCCTACTTGTGCACTAGGGAAAGGTTGCAGCTCTTCAACGGGGTCTCACTGAAAGTTCCGTCTTGAAAATATTCTCGATATGTTCAAAGGTTCCACCTCTAAAGGCCTTGTATATTTTACTTATCTAGGGCTGCACTAATCAAAACATCACATGTGGGTGACTGTAATGAACAGAAATATATTTTTTGAAAATTTAGGAAAGTGGACATCCAAATTCAGTGTGCCAGTTCCAAGGGAAGGCTTTCTCTCTGTCAAATTGGGGAGAAAGATCCTTGTCAATTCTTCAATTCCCTACCAATTTTTCAGTGATGTGGCATCTATCTTCCTCTATCTAGACTTGCTTACTTCAGTGCCTAATCTGCTCTGTTTATATCTTAAAAGATATTCGTTTAAGACACAATTTACATAAACCTTATTCCCAAATGGGATTACATCCATAGATAGCAAGGTTTGCAACAATATTTGGGGGGATATAATTCAATTCATAATTGCCCCCCTTCAGTACTTCTCATCCAGAGAGATCTTGGCTCCTCCTTTGGTCATGTCTAAGTCATTCTGGGTTGGCACAACTTGGGAGAGGCAATGATACTGATCAGAGACAAAGAATACTATTAAACATCCAATAAGATATGAGACAGCCCCCCACCATAAGGAATTATCCAGCCCAAAATGTCAGTAGTATAGTGGCTTAGAAATCCTTGCCTAGTATACCATGGCAAAGGCTTATCCAGAACAATGAACCACAACTGTGATTTGGGGTCAAGACTATGAAAGAAGATGAAATTATCAACTTTGTCTGTTGGACATGAGCCATGGCCAATTGTTATTGGTTGAGTCAACAAAAAATACATTCTCCTCATGAACCCACTTAGACTCCTTAATCTCCTCTCTAGAGACCAGCTTTAAATATAGCTAACAAAAACTCCTTTTTTAAAAAAAATCATTTTATTAGGGGCTCATACAACTCTCATCACAATCCATACACACATCAAATGTGTAAAGCGCATTTGTACATTCATTGCCCTCATCATTCTC